GTGAATTCCTCCCTGCGCCTGGGGAGGTGCTTTGTGTACTGTCCACAGATACAACCCAGTACCAGGGTTATGCAGAGTTTCCCTCCTGTTGCAGATATTGACGAGTGTCAGGGGCCCACTGGAGTGAACTGCGGCCCCAACGCCACCTGCACCAACAAGCCTGGGAGTTTCCACTGCGCCTGCAACGATGGTTTCAACTCGAGCTCTGGGAAAGCCATTTTCACGCACATGAGTGAGAACAGTTGCCAGGGTGAGTTCTCCTCTTTTACCCACCTGGCCCTGCTGGGATCCCTGCACACACCTGTTCATTCCAGGCCTGGCGCTGCACCAGGGACTCCACTGGTTGCACCAAAGGTGCCCAATCCACATGGCACTCAGGCTATGGTCAGCTGTGGCCCTCGACGGTTCCCCAGTGTGTTGAGGGGGCCAGAATCTCCCTGCCTCTGTCTGCAGGTTGGGATTAAATCCCTAGATTTCTAGGGAGTCAGCTGGGGGCAGAGCAAGAGACACTCGCTGGCCCCAGCATGCAACCTTCTGCTGCTACTACACTACGGCTCCCCGGAGCAGAGAATAACCACAGCACAGTGGGTGTGGCTATGCCCCAATCCATCCCTGCCATGGGGTGGGGGCTGGACCTTTACACTAGCTCCCGGCTGGCTGGGGAGGCCCCTGCTTAGGAGGACCCTGTGTCAGAGGCCATGATGCTGCCAGAATGGCCCAGCAGGGCCTCGGTGTCTCTGTAAATCCGTCCTGTGACTGCCGAATGCTCCGGGCACCAGTCACCTAGATCCAGGGTCTCCCGGTGCTAGATCAGTGCAGGGAGACGAACAGGGAATATCTCCACATGGCAATCAGGCTATGATCAACTGTGGCCCTCTACGGTTCCCCAGTGTGTTGAGGGGGCCAGAATCTCCCCTGCCTCTGTCTGCAGGTTGGGATTAAATCCCTAGATTTCTAGGGAGTCAGCTGGGGGCAGAGCAAGAGACACTCGCTGGCCCCAGCATGGAACCTTCTGCTGCTACTACACTACGGCTCCCTGGAGCAGAGAATAACCACAGTGGGTGTGGCTATGCCCCAATCCATCCCTGCCATGGGGTGGGGGCTGGACCTTTACACTAGCTCCCGGCTGGCTGGGGAGGCCCCTGCTTAGGAGGAGTGTCTGTCAGAGGCCATGATGCTGCCAGAATGGCCCAGCAGGGCCTCGGTGACTCTGAAAATCCATCCTGTGACTGCCGAATGCTCTGGGCACCAGTCACCTAGATCCTGGGTCTCCCGGTGCTAGGTCAGCGCAGGGGGGTGAACGGGGAATGTCTCCCTGCCGGGGCTGTGCAAAGCTTCCCTTATATTGCAGATATTGACGAGTGTCAGGGGCCCACTGGAGTGAACTGCGGCCCCAACGCCACCTGCACCAACGAGCCTGGGAGTTTCTACTGCGCCTGCAACAATGGTTTCACGTCGAGCTCTGGGAATGCCACCTTTGTGCACATGAGTGAGAACAGTTGCCAGGGTGAGTTCTCCTCTTTTACCCACCTGGCCCTGCTGGGATCCCTGCACACACCTGTTCATTCCAGGCCTGGCGCTGCACCAAAGACTCCACTGGTTGCACCAAAGGTGCCCAATCCACATGGCAATCAGGCTATGGTCAACTGTGGTCCTCTACTTTTCCCCAGTGTGTTGAGGGGGCCAGAATCTCCTCTGCTTCTGTCTGCAGGTTGGGATTAAATCCCTAGATTTCTAGGGAGTCAGCTGGGGGCACAGCAGGGGACACTCGCTGGCCCCAGCATGCAACCTTCTGCTGCTACTACACTACGGCTCCCTGGAGCAGAGAATAACCACAGAAAGCCCCTGCACAGGAGGAGTGGCTGTCAGAGGCCATGATGCTGCCAGAATGGCCCAGCAGGGCCTCAGTGTCGCTGTGAATCCGGCCTGTGACTGCCGAATGCTCCAGGCACCAGTCACCTAGAACCTGGGTCTCCCTGTGCCAGGTCAGGACAGGGGGGCGAACGGGGAATGTCTCCCTGCCGGGGCTGTGCAAAGCTTCCCTTATATTGCAGATATTGACGAGTGTCGGGGGCCCTCTGGAGTGATCTGCGGCCCCAACGCCCACTGCACCAACGTACCTGGGAGTTTCTACTGCACCTGCAACGATGGTTTCAAGTCGAGCTCTGAGAAAGCCAGATTAACAGACATGAGAGAAAACAGCTGCTCGGGTGAGTTCTCTCCTGGCACCCAACCAGCCCTGCTGAGAACCCCTCCTCAGGCCAACGAGGCCAGGTGCTGCACCAGGGGCTGCTGCCATCTGCAATAAACACCCTCGACGCGCTCGCTGGTCTCTTGATCAGTTGTGACCCTAGACCGTTTCCCCGCTGTGGGGTGTCCAGGATCTCCCCGCCTTGGCCTTTGGATTGGGAATACATTGCTACATTTACAGGATGCCAGCCCGGAGAGGGGAAGAGACCCTAAGGGCACATTTACACAGCAGGGCTAAAACCGAAATAAGCTGCACAACTTGAACTATGTCAACTGCCTATTTTGGCTTTTGGCGATGCCCATGCAGCAGGAAGTTCGAGTTGCAGCACTCTGCCCCCGACTTCCCTTACTCCTTGTGAGATGGGAGTTACCGGGGCTGGGGAAAGCAGTCCTCTAGTTTGACAGTATTTGGACATTGTGTCGTAATATCATCTTGTCGTGTAGACGGGGACTCTGTTATTTTGGAAGAATGTCAGTTATTCCCCTCCAAAGCTCCAACATAGATGCGCCCTCACTGGTGGCGCCTCTACACGCAGTCTCCTGCTGCTAGTGCCCCGCTGAACCTGGGAAGGGGCCTTGTGTACGGTGCAGAGACACAGCCCAGCGTGCGATGTGCCCCATGGTCCCGGGGAGCAGAGAACAGGCTCCTCGTCAGACACCCCAGCCACGCCCCTACTCGTGTCGCCACCTTTCTCGCAGTGCAACATTGAACGCTCCGGCCCTTCCGTTCCACGAGGTCCCACCCCCGTAACTACATTGGCTGTCTCTTGGGGGCTCAGTCCCGCTGCCCTTACTTCCTTTTACGGGCTGGAGCAGGCACTTGGAATTTGGGAGGGGGTCGGGCAATAAGTGGGGTGCAGGCTCAGGATGGGGCCAGATGAAGGGTGGAGGGTGCCGGGGGATGCTTGGGGGGAATGCAGTGTGGCGTGGAGAATGGCTGAGGGCTCTGGTTGGCCCTGTAGACTTTGGGGCCGAGGATAAGAGGCTTGAGGAGAATGGGGGTGGGGCTATGGGCAGAAAAGTCAGGTGGAAGTATTTGGATTGTGGGATCGAGCTGCGGGTTGAAGGACTGAGTTGCGGTGCTGGCTCTGGTGTGGGGTTGGGATGAGAGGATGGGGATGCCGGAGGGGGATCTGGTGTTAGGGATACACTTGGGGCAGTGGCTTTCGGTCCAGAACTGTGGTGCGGACTTACCTCAGGGAGCACCTCTGCGGCTCCCTACCTATCCAGGCTTCACCCTGCCCCCGGAAGTGGCCAAATGACCGTCCACCTTGGTACTGGAGCTCCCGCTGCTGGGTCAGTGCTGGGGGGGGAAGGGAACGGGGATCGTCTTCCTGCCAGGGCGGTGCATAGTATCCCGTGTATTGTAGATATTAACGAGTGTCGGGAGCCCTCTGGAGTGAACTGCGGACCCAACGCCCACTGCATCAACGAGCCTGGGAGTTTCCACTGCGCCTGCAACGATGGTTTCAAGTCGAGCTCTGGGAAAGCCACTTTCACACACATGAGAGAAAACAGCTGCTCAGGTGAGTTCTCCCCTGGACCAACCCTGCCCTGCTGAAACCCCCTCCTCAAGCCACCTTGGCCTGGTGCTGCACCAGGGGTGCTGCCAGTTGCAATAAAAGCCCTTGATGCACTCGCTGGACTCATGCTCAATGTGACCCTGACCCACACCCCCTGCCGCAGAGTAGCCAGAGTCTCCCCTGCCTCGGTCTTTGGATAGGGAATAGACAGCAAAGTTTGCAAAGAGGCACCTCGTAGAAGTGAGAGGATCATGACTGGTCTCTACATGGAGCCTCCTGCTGCTAATTTCTCCCTGCGCCTGGGGAGGTGCCTTGTGTACTGTCCACAGATACTACCCAGTACCAGGGCCGCCTGGGGAGGGGCCTTGGGTACAGTTCACAGACACAACCCAGTGCCAGGGCTGTGCAAAGCTTCCCTCCTGTTGCAGATATTGACGAGTGTCAGGGGCCCACTGGAGTGAACTGCGGCCCCAACGCCACCTGCACCAACAAGCCTGGGAGTTTCCACTGCGCCTGCAACGATGGTTTCAACTCGAGCTCTGGGAAAGCCACCTTCACGCACATGAGTGAGAACAGTTGCCAGGGTGAGTTCTCCTCTTTTACCCACCTGGCCCTGCTGGGATCCCTGCACACACCTGTTCATTCCAGGCCTGGTGCTGCACCAAAGACTCCACTGGTTATGCAGCAAAGGCCCGTGATCCATTCCCCATGGCTGTGATCAGCTGTGGTCCTCGAATGCTCTCCTAGTGGAGTGTGAGCAAGATTTCCCCTGACGTGGCACTTGGATTTGGAATAATCCTCTAGATTTGCAGAGAGGCATGAGAAAGATTTTAGTGGACCCTTGCTGGCCCCAGAATGCAGCCGCCTCCCTGAGCCTGGGAAGGGGCCTAGTGAATGGTCCACAGAGGCAGCCCAGCATGCACAGAGACAGCCCACATGAGACCCTCAGGAGCAGGGACTAGGCAAGGGCCGGCCCATAGCATTTTGTCACCTTAGGCGGGAGCTCAAATGACACCCCCATGCTCCCTCACTTGGGCCAAAACTTTGAAAGGTCTCGATTCTGCCTTCTTCCTGTTCTACTGCTCTCATGGTTCTGCTCTGCTACCTACAGATGCACCAGGAGCAGACACATTTTTCTACACTCTGGGTCCTAATGGCGCCTCCTCCACCCCCCACAGTCTGGCACCTGAGGCAGCCACCTCAGTTTGCCTGAGGGTAAGGCCAGCCCTGGACTAGACCCTGTACTAGGTACCCCAGCCATGCCTTGGTTACGGTTTCCAAATTTTAAATATTACGCAAGTGAATACTGTAGCCTCATCCCTTCCTCAAGGCCACTCCCCTATCCCTCCTCTTTCCCGAGGCCCCACCTCCCACTCACTACATTGCTCCTCCCTTTGTGTTTCCTTCCCTCCACCTTCACTCTCTTTCACCGGATAGGGCTGGTGTTTGGGAGACTGGAGGCCATGAGGGCTCTAACTGGCCTTGTCGGCTTGGTGTGGTAACAGAAATGAGCGTTTCTGAGTGAGGAGGGGATGCTGGGATGGGCCAGGGAGTTTTGGATCCAGAGGGGGTGAGAGTTCTGGCTGGGGGGGTGCAGGCTCTGGGTGGGGCTGGGGAAGAGAGGTTTGGGATGCAGGAGGAGGCTCTGGTTTAAGGCATTGAGGGTGCAGTGGGATCTTGTGGCTAAGCGTTGGGGTGTGGGCTTAGTTCACTGGGCTCCTGGTCAGCTCTGCAGCAAACCTAAGGCCAGTTGTATCTGAACCATTAGCCGTAATTTTGAAAAGTCATAGAAGTCAGGAGAGATTCCAGAAGACTGGAAAAGGGCACTTACAGGGTCCATCTATAAAAAGAGAAATATGGACAACCCAGGGATTTACAGACCAGTGAGCTTAACTTCTGTGCTAGGAAATATAATGGAGCAATTAATTAAGGAATCCACCTGCAAACATCTGGAAGATGATAAGGTGATAAGTAACAGTGTGGATTTGTAAAGAACACATCATGTCAAACCAATCTGATCACTTTCTTTGATGGGATAAGGAAGAGCAAGCAGTAGACATGGTATATGTAGACTTAAAGCATTTGATAGTGTTGCATGACCTCATCCCAGGGTCCTGCTCCTGTAAAATGCTTCCCTGTCTAGGTTCCCAGAATATCCTACAAATCAAAGGTGATGTGAGGGCTGGGGAGAGGGGGGAAGATTAGGACAAGCGGGTCTAGGGGCACCGCTCAGTCTGTCCCAGAGCCATGAGAAAGCCTCACCTGGACAGTCCAGCTCCTAAATCTCTCTCGCCTCTTCCCCGACACATGCCAGGTTTGCCTGCGAGCAGCTGGGACTGATACTTAACAGGGCAGAGGGTAGGGGGGTCAGTACCGCAGCTGGCAGTCACCCCCACGTGGGAATGGGCGCTACCCCCCAGCTACCCCTAGCAAAGGAGCCACAGCTCCAGGCCCCAATCCCTGCTCTCATTAACCCAGGGAGGGATCAGCAGGGATCCCTTCAACACATTGCTGGGGGGAGGGGGGGCCCCAACAGGTATTGCCTGCCATTTAGACACCGGCCTGCTGACAGATGGAACCTGATGCAACAACCGCAGTGGTGTTGGGAAACCCAAAGCCGGTCTCAGCCACTGTCTGGCTCACAAGAGGGTCTGGCCAAGATCTAGGCCTCTGGCAGCTCAGGTGATAAGCACCCTGGCACCCCAGGTGATAAGCACCCTGGCACGGGGGAGCGGTTCTCATGGGATTCTCATCCCCAGCCCAAAAGCTGGTTCATCCACTCAGCTCGGGAAGAGGATGGGAGTCAATCGCCGGCCCTTCCTAGGGCACAATCCCCAGCTCAAGAGCAGGCGAGAAAGTGCCTGGCACCCTTCCTTCCTGCACAGGACAGCCCCTGGCTGTCTCCCGAGGCAGCTTCTTGGCAAAGGCCCGGACAGGAAAGCACTCCACGGGAATTTGCATATCTTCTTCCAGTTGCACTTTCGAAAGTGGAACCTTCAAAAGTGAAAGTAATTAAGATGCAACTTTTTCGGTAACCTCCCCCCCCCCGCCTTGTCGAAAAGCCGCATAAACCTCCTTTTCTGAGGAAGAGAGGCTTTTCAGCAAAGGGGGTGGTTGGGCAAAAAAGCCACATCTTAATTACTTTTACTTTCAAAAACTCCACTTTTGAAATCCTGTGGAATTTGCATATCTTCTTTTGACCATTCCCTGTAGTCTAGATGAGCCCTGAAAGTCATGCAGTCTCAGAACAGAGACTTTCCACAGAGACTGTCCACCAGCCCTCCAGTGGGGCCTCCTCCCCTGCCCTATTGCCAGCGCCTGGAATGGTGTCCATTAGACTCTGAACTCCTTGGGCCAAGGGTTGGCCTGGCCTCCCTAATGTCTGAAAGTAGCACCCCTGCGGGCGAGCATTGAAGCTGGGTCCTCAGACTGGGGACAGCGACATTAGTGACTGTTTCAGAATGCAATGTTCTGGCTTTTTACTTTTACATGAGGTTACATCTGGAAATTTTGCTAATTTTTAGTTCTAACAAAAACCAACCACCCAAATGCAAACCAGCCACTTCCAAACAGAAACAGAAAACCAAAACCTCACGTTGGGGGAAAGGCAACATTTTGCTCGATCCCTGATAAACCGTTCGGGGTGTTTGTTTCAGTGACAAAAGACCCCAAAAATCCACCTTAGGTTACGTACGGACAATTTCCTCCTGGCTGTTTTTATCCTGGTTTGGTCACTGTACTGAAAACATCCAGGATTTGCTCAGCTCTTCCCTGGCTGCTGAAGATGATCCAAGACGCCAAACCCTGTGTCCCACTGTCCCTGCTGCCTGAGCTAACGGGACGAGTCTGTTCCTGGGAGGGGCCATCAGACCAAAAACTTCTGTGCATGAGCCAGACCCCTGGGTCCAGCCCTAGGAAGGCGCGTGGGTGTGTTACTGTGTGGCTGTGACATGGGGGCATCTGCAGTGCAGCAGGGAGGTGCAAGTTCCAGCTCAAGCAGAAACATACCCCCTAGCAGGGCAGAGCATTCAGGGAGGAGGCAGCGGATGGGCCAGTGCCCTAGAGCCGCCCTGTCCCTGATCCCAGGTGTGCGCTGGGCAGAGCCTGAGCCGCACAGTGGCCATGCTGCTTTGTAGCCCAGGCAGAGCCTGTGTCTGCCCAGACGGGGAATTGCAGCTGTAGCTGCAGTGCCAACAGGGCCCCAGGCTGGGGTAATGCAGTGCCGTAGACCCCTGTGGTGCTCTCAGGTGCTGCTCTCCATTCACAGATATGCTGAGTGGCAGCTGAACAGCCTGCACTCCCATTGGTTGCAGGGGGAGCTGGCGGGGTTCCGCCCCTCAGGTTGTGGCCCTACAATAATAGGAAAGCAGATCTGGAAAACGGGATTGTCTCCCTGCACATCTATGGAAACAGAGGCTTCTGGACGGGAAAAGACTTGGCAAAGGTCACATGGGGAGTCTGTGGAGGAAGCAGGGACAGGGCCCAGGAGTCCTGATTCCTCAGCCTCCTGCTCTCCTGGAGTCAGCCTCCCCGCCCAACATCTCTAAGTCCCCCCTTGTAGGTCTCTAATCTCCACCCTGTAGCTCAGCCAGATGCTCTGGTCTCAACGCAGGGATTTTTGGGTGAGGGTCAGACTGTTATTCAGGGGGTCAGACTCTTGGGGATGGGCAGCAGATTGCAACCCTGCCAGGAGCCGTGTTTTTCGCACGGTGCCCCCTCTGATGCCAGCAGATGGGATCTTCTTTTTTCCCTCTCCACCATGAAAGGAAGCTCTGTTATATACAGCTGGGTTCATTGCTCCTTCCACTCTCACAAACTGACAAGTGTCTTGTGCCCTCCGTATTCCAAATGAATGACTAGAATTGCATCCAGTTCTGGGGAGCAGCGCTTCCCTGACCCAGCCGCGCAGTGTAACGGTGAATGCTGGCTCTGGCACAGAACAGAGCGACCGATTCTGAGGGACCTGGGGTTGATGGAAATATTCTCACAGACTCCAATGGGCTTTGGATCAGTGTGCGCCCAGCCTGGTGTCTGACTGTCTCCTGGGGGCTGAGACAAGCTCCCTCTGTCCTCACTGCTTGTTCTGCAGTGTTGCTCAGTGGGTAGGGCAAGTGCCTGGGAATGAGGGGATGGGAGTTAGTCTCAGCTCTGCTCCTGATCAGCCGAGTTTCTTTCTCTGTTAGATCCTGTCCTCTTCCCATTCTTTGTCTTGTTAAACTGTAAACTTGTCCTGTGTGTGTGCAGCACCTAACTCAATGCATCTGCTGGGTGCTACTGTAATGCATGTAATAAACACCTGGACTAATGGCAAGTCTTCTCTTGGCAGATGTGGATGAATGTGCTGAAAATCCTGCAATCTGCGGGCTCAGTCTCTATTGCACAAACACACCTGGGAACTACACCTGCCAGTGTCCACCAGGGTATAGTCCATCCATGCCAGACACCTGGAAACCTGGGAAAACCCACTGCCTAGGTAGCCTTTGGTGTCTGCCCTCGCAACCCCACTCTGCCCCAGCCAGATGGGAGCTGGGAGCTGGCCCTGGAGTGGGGCCGAATGTTCACGTCCGTGTGTCACTGGAAGAGTGGGGAGCTCCCAAGCCCTGCACCCCTATCCACAGCCAGATGGGACCCTCAGCCAGAAGACTGATTAGTTCACAGGGCTCTAGCGTAGACCAGGCTTGTGAGAAAGGAATCGGGGCAGTCAGTACAATCCATATCCAGGGCCCCGCACTCCCTTCCTGTATCCTAAGGCAGCGCAGACTAACTCACACTCAGCAACCAGTCCCAGCCCTGCGGGCAGCTCCACGTCCTCCTTTTGTCCTGCTTCCTGGGAAAAAGGCATCACCTGATTGCACCCCCCACCTAGGCTCATGTCACTCCACCTAGTCCCCTGTGTGTTTGCTGGTCTCCCTTCACCCAGCCGGGTGTGAGAGGCATGCACAGGGTGCAAGCACTTCCCCCTCTCTCCCTTAGCATCCAGGGAACAAGATGAAATGTGAGCTGCAGCCCAGAGCGCACAGCTGCTGCTCCCCCTCCCAGATACCCAAAATGCTGCCCCATCCCCCACCCCACTGGCACAATGGGCCTCTGATCTCAGTTTGGTCCCGTAAGTGCCGCTGTGATTAGTAATCAATTCCCTGTTCTTCTGTTTAGATATTGATGAATGTTCTCAAGACATGTCCATCTGTGGCCTTCGCAGCTTCTGCGTCAACACCCCGGGGAGTTACAGCTGCTGGTGCAAAACAGGCCATGCTTCCCCTGGGGGGAACTCTTGGAAACCTGGCGACAACCACACCTTGAACTGCACAGGTACCAGTCGCGACACGCTGCCCTCCCTGGCAAAGCCACGGAATAGACATCAGGCCCTGACGGTCTCAAAGGCTGGGATGCGGGTGGTGCTCTCAGTGCTCCGTGCTTGAGAAGCTGCCCACAAATCGATGTGCGGAGCTAGGCCCTGGCATGTTTGTATGTTCTGTAGGCCCCAGGGGAGCCCGCTGCACCCGTGTGATTTCTTTATATTAATGGAAGATTGACCCAGCGTTGCTTGGGACCTTAACTCAAATCATTTTTGTTTTTCTTCATTTAAATCATTGTTCTGGGGTGGCTCTGGGGACGAGAGGGGTCAGTGTAAAGGCTGACCGGGGTAAGAGGACACCACAGCAGCTAGGGTCAGGTGAGCACCTGTTCTTGGCTGCTGCAGCTGCAGTAGGCACAGCTGAGGGAGGGGTGCATGTCCCCCAGCTGATGGACAGAAAGACAAACACTCTCACATATATGGTAGAGAGCTCTCGCTTTCTCCACACCTGCCCCCTGCTGCCCCAATGAGGCTATAGCTGTTCCAGTCTCCATCTCTGGGCCCTTGCTGCCCCCCTATGGCCACTATACAGTATAACTGTCCCTGCTAGCAGAGCTTCCCTTTCCACTTTATGAGAATCAGCCACATTCCAGGCACATCCCATTGTCCTGACACAACCAAACCCTACTTTAAGTTATGATAAGAAGAAGCTGCATACCGATTTTGGGGGTCCTAGCTCTTACCAGCTAGGGGGAGTTTTTGAACCAATGGACACACAGACAGATGCACAGACAGACAAACTGTTTCAAATCTATACTAGTTGGGGAGAGTTGCCTCTGGAGTGGTGCTGCCTTCTTGGACACCATAAACCAAGTTCTTTAGCCAGTAACCTCAGCTCTGCTGTTGGTTGGACTTTGCCTGGTTTCATTTCTGCAATAATACTTTGAACCTATTGTAAAGATTTGATTCTTGTAAGAGAGACCCCAACACTGGCTTTCTGCTTCCTTCCCTAGAAAACATCCGTGACCAACTCAGGAATCTGAAAGGAGTCAATTTAGAAAGCCGGTGCAAAACCAGCCAGAAGGTACATGTCGAGTGATTCCAGATTGTGGCAGGAGGGGAAAAGGGTCGAACATAAACCAAGTTCTTTAACCATTAGCATCAGCTCTGCCGTTGGTGGGGCTTTGCCGGGTTTCACTTCTGTGCCCAAAAGTGCCATGATACTTTGAATCTATTGTAAAGATTGGTCTGTTGTAAGAGAGACCCCCAACCCTGGCTTCCTGCTTCCTTTCCTAGAAAGAACCATCCGTGACCAGTTCAAGAGTCTGACAGGAGTTAATTTAGAAAGCCGGTGTGACACCAGCCAGAACGTATGTGTCGAGTGATTCCAGACTGCGGTAGGAGGGAAAAAGGGAGGGAATGGATGGGCAGCATGGGCATGCATGGAGTTAGTGCAATGCACTAAGGCAGTGTATCTGCTGTGACTGGGTTGGGCAGTGTGGATGGACAGAGATGGAGAGGATGGACTAGATCCGGTACCCAGAGAAGGGTGGAGAAAAAAGAGTGGGTGGAGATGGAGAAGTTGGTGTTAAAGCGCTTATCCAGGGAGGCTGACAGAATTGCAGGGCTGCAGGGAGGGAGGCCCATCTCTGTGCTCCTGGAAGGGGCAGGGCTTCAGGCGGAAAGGGCGAGGCACCATGGCTGAGGCACCATGTCCTCTCTCCCCCCAGCAGCCCTCAGCACTGCTGGGACTGTACCATGTCCTCTCTCCCCCCAGCAGCCCTCAGCACTGCTGGGACTGTACCATGTCCTCTCTCCCCCCAGCAGCCCTCAGCACTGCTGGGACTGTACCATGTCCTCTCTCCCCCCAGCAGCCCTCAGCACTGCTGGGACTGTACCATGTCCTCTCTCCCACCAGCCAGCCCTCAGTGCCACCCAGAGCATGCCACATGGTGCTCTGGCAGAGATTTAAAGGGCCTAGGGCTCCAGCCACTCTCACTGCCACTCCCACAGTAATGGTGCCTGGGAGCTTCAGGCCCTTTTGTATCACCTGGCCCCAGGGCACTTGCCCACTCCCCCGTCTCCCCCGTCAGCAGGCCTGCGCTCATCCCTCTGGTATTCTTCCTGCATTGAGGTTTAACAGCTAATTCGATTTAGGGGCTTTAAATCGGAATCCCATTTCACTGCCACATATAGACACGGGCAGTTACTTCGGGCTAGTCAATTTCTAAAATGGCAACCAGCCAGGAACATGCAAATCAAGCGCGGGATATTTAAATCCCAGGCTTGATTTGCAATTTCTGTCACCCTCATTAGCCTCTCTACATCGATCTAGGGGGCTAGTGTAGACGTGCCCATAGAGAGGCAACAGTGCGGAGGATGAGGGGGCAGATATATGCAAGGAGCTAGCTTTTAAGCCAGCTCTCCATATGTGTTGGCTCCGCAGACCCACCTGGCCCCGCTTGCTGCCTCCTACAGAGATAGTGGGGGCGGCAGGAGGAGTACAGGAGCTGGTGCTCAGGGTGGAGACGACTTTTAAGCCATCATCACCAGAGCACTGGCTCCACAGGGTCACCTGGCCCCCTCCTCCACAGCGGGGGGGGGTGGAGGCCAGTGGGAGCTACCACAGAGCAACCTCTGTCTGTGGTGGTCCAGGGAGCCTGGGTCCCCCACAGATAGGGGCTATTTGTATTAGAGGCAGCAGCATGGGGCAACAGGGGTCTCCCCAGGAGTGGGACTGGAGCATGCTAGCTGCTGGCTTTTCCCCTAGGGGCCATCAAATAGTTGTGCAACCGCTGTAATTTGAGGCAGCTATATGACTATTCAATTGCACACTATATAACATCCCTAACCATGTATTAATTTGCCCCCACAGATAGGGGCTATTTGTATTAGAGGCAGCAGCATGGGGCAACAGGGGTCTCCCCAGGAGTGGGACTGGAGCATGCTAGCTGCTGGCTTTTCCCCTAGGGGCCATCAAATAGTTGTGCAACCGCTGTAATTTGAGGCAGCTATATGACTATTCAATTGCACACTATATAACATCCCTAACCATGTATTAATTTGCCCTGTGGCTTCTACTCTTTGAGTTGGTGACACACACAAGCTGCATATTTGAAATCAGAAGTTGTATCTGTTTTTACAGGTCTCTGTTTCACTTGTTCTTGTATCCTAAGCATTCCCCAGAGATGCATAAGCCTGAGTGAATGCCTTTTACTCTCCTTTCCAGAGCCAGTAAATATTGGGACACTATCTGCCTAACAGTCAATGAAGGTGCAAACAGCTCTTTGTATGGATTTCTGTCAGGAAGGATACTATCAATTGACTTTGATTCTTATCTGCATCATTTTAACTACCCCGTTTTCAGATACTTACTGATTCCCTTTATCTTTGTGAATTTTCTATACCCTCTGCTTCCTGTCTCCTCTTCCTCTCCCCCCCCCCATTTATTTTGGGTCTGCACATCCTAAACTCAAAACTCCGGTCATCTGAAGAAGTGGGCTGTGCCCTCGAAAGCTCATGATGCCATCTACACGTTTTGTTAGTTTATAAAGTGCTGCCAGACCATTTTTTGGTTTTTTTTTAAGTAAATATTGTATTAGGAGTTGCAAGAAAAATATGAGTATTTCTAGTTGTCTCATAGGCTATGTCTAGATTGCATTGCTTTTTTGGGATACCTCTGGTATCCTGAAGAAGCAACTCCACATCCAAGGAACACGTCCACTTTTTCAGAAAAAATTTTGAAAAAGCGGACAAGCTCTTTCGTCATCCCTGTAAACCTCTTCTGTGAGGATTAACGGTTGACTTGAAAGAGCCCTTTTTTCTGAAATTTGGCACCATGTAGATGTGCCAAATTAAGAAAAAGCCTCTTTCGAAAGTAAATCGAAAAAAGATTTGTTTAGCATCTTCAAGCTGAGCTATGCATGGATAATATGCACTTTGGTGTGTTTACTAGCTTGAGGTGTTAAAAAAGGATGACGATGCATGTACTCCAAGAGTAGTGTTAATTTTCTTTTTATTTAATTTCACATTAAATAAACCTCGTAAGAATTGCTCCTTGTTAACCATCTGTTTTGATATGTTTTCTTCTGCACACACCTCTGAACTGTTTAAATACATATAACTAGATTTTTTGTGTGTACTAGTGATACCCATCTACACACTATCTCAATATTGATGTCGTAAACAAGAAAATTCAACCCTCCCAAAAGAAAATTCAACCCAACCAAGGTTGGAAAATGTTAGAGGGGAACACTGATTTTTAGCTATACATTTACCAATCATTTCGCTGAAATGTAAAAACCAGCCCTTACATTGTAACATGATTATCTAACTAATCGTGTCCATCACCTGGTTTATAACCAGAAAATGTAATTATACCACAGACAGAAGCCATCAAAGGACCAGACACACTATACAGATAAACAGTCGAGAAATGGGGAGCATAGTGACAAAACAATAAAGCAGAGGTGAGGAGCCTACGGCCTGGGGACCAGATGTGGTTCCCCACATCCCTAGATCTGGCTGCTGAGGCTCTGGGCATTGGGGAGCCCCACCTGCACCCATCCACCTACAGGATGGGAGCACACAAAATCTACTAGCCTGGTATGCAAGAGACTGTGAGGAGTGTCTTCTTCTCAGCTGGGGCACCACATCAGTGAGGGCTTTTTATTTTCTTTTTTTGCTTCTGGTTTGTGTGTGGCCCCCGACTGATTTTTCTGTGGATCAGTGGCCTCTGACCCAAAAAAGGTTCTCCAGCCCTGCTGTAAAGACATGAGAATTTTGCAGCCCTAACTACTGATAAATTGCTCTTTGCCAGATGGAAAAAATCATAGCATCATAGAAGACTAAAACTGGAAGAAACCTTGAGAGGTCATCAAGTCCAGTCCCCTGCCCTCATGGCAGGAACAAGCATCATCTAGATCATCTCCAACCAGTGCCTGTCCAACCTGCTCTTCAATATCTCCAGTGATGGCAATTCCACAACTTCCCAAGGCAACTTCTTCCAATGTTTCATCACCCTGACAATTAAGTTTTTCCCTAATGTCCAGCCTAAACCTCCATTGCTGCAATTTCAGCCCATCGCTTCTTGTTCGATCATCAGAGGCCAAGGAGAACAATTTTTCTCCCTCCTCCTTGTAACATCCTTTCAGGCACTTGAAAACTGCTCTCATGTCCCCTCTCAGTCTTCTCTTCTCCAAGCTAAACAAGCCCAATTCTTTCAATCTTCCCTCATAGATCATGTTTTCTAGAGCTTTAATAATTTTTGTTGCTCTTCTCTGGATTTTCTCCAATTCCTCCACATCTTTTTTGAAATGTGGTGCCTAGAACTGGACACAATACTCCAATTGAAGCCTATACCAGTGCAGAGTAGAGTGAAAGAATGATTTCTCGTGTCTTGCTCACAATACTCCTGTTAATGCCTCCCAGAATCATGTTTGCTTTTTTTTGCAACAGTGTCACACTGTTGGCTCATATTTAGCCTGGGGTCCCAGGGCCAGATGGAGGCATGGACGAGCTGGGCAGCTGCCCAGGGCGTCAACCCACGGGCGGCGCCTGATGGCAGTTGTAAGGGGTGCACGGCGTCCCTTACAGCTGCCATCAGGAGCCACGTGCCCAGCTCCCACAGCGCCAGCCCCGCGGTGCTGGACAGCAGCGCCCTTGCCCCCATGGCTGTGGGGCCCTGTACAGCCCGGCGTGTGCACCAGCAGCGCTGGCCGGGCTGGGCTGGGCAGTGCATGCGCCATGCGCCCCATGGGTGAGCCCCGGGCTGTGCGCCAGGGGCCATGGCTGGTGCACGCATGCGCCATGTGCCCCAAGGGCAGGTTCCGGACTGTGCGCCAGCGGCTGTGGCCGGGGCCCCAGGGGCAGCGCCACACACCTGGGCCCAGGGTGCCAAAGGGGCTCGGGCCGGCCGTGTCTGCACAACTGAGATTATGAGGCAAGCGATGCTGTTTTTCCACAATTTCTGCCTGTGCACGTCAGCAGAAGTGCAAGTGCAGGTGCAAGAAGCTCCTGGCCGTGTGGTCCACTATGACCTCTAGATCCCTTTCTGCCGTACTCCTTCCTAGATAGTCGCTTCCCATTCTGTATGTGTGAAACATTGTTCCTTCTTAAGTGGAGCTATCAAACTAAGTTTTCTTTAAGCCTTTTAGGCTCTTCCTTTTATCTAGAGGAGAAAGATTGGATTGCCTTTCTTACAGCCCCAGATTGCCTATTTTCAATACGAAACTGACCAGTGAGATTGTCCTGGGGGTGGGGGAAACACGTGAAGCCTCTTCCCCTCCTTCAAATTCTGAGCTGTGAAAGAGAAATGGCCCGCGTGTAGGCCATGGTTTTGCCCAGCTCTGCCTCAGATGCTCCGGTGAGAGAAGCCTCACACAAAGGCAGACTGTGACTTTGATTCTTTGCTCTGATATTTCATCACTAGCTAAGTGACCAGAACACACCTACCTACTTATAGTATCGGCCTTTACAGGTTGGCCTGAATCTCTGTGTCCTAAGTCAGGGCTACTCACCTTTGGAAGCCCCAGGGGCCACAATGATACTCACAGCACATGCCGAAGGCCGCAGCTGAAGTCTGGTTGCATATACAAGCATGTTTATATGCAAATATATGCAAATAGATTCTTTCACATTGACGGGCATGAATGCAAAGATTAAGCTTTATGCTGTGGTGCTGGACCCAAATGTGGCCAATGTGAGCCAGTCAACACCTCTCAAGCTCTGCCCACAAGGCTAAGCAGACAGCGCTTCCCACAATGCCCCAGTGCTCCCACCACCTCCTCCCTGAAGGCTGGAAACACCCTGTACCCGTCTGTGCCAGCCAGCCCGTCCACTTGCATCTTTCAGTGCTCACCCTGCCAGGGAGACACCTCACCGCTGTGGACCATGTTTCTAGTGGAGGCCATGTTCAAAGGATCCCACCCACGTAAACCCAAACCGCACCGCGGGATGCAAATAAATGGGCTGCGGGCCGCATGTTGAGTAGCTCTGTCCTAAGAGATGTGTGGATGTGTTGCCAGGCACTCGAACACCTGGTTGAAAAGGGGTGATAATGAGTGAAGGCAGGGGGATGGAGTGAGCAGGACGGGGCCTTGGACAAGGAGTGGTGGTAGGTGGCAGCCCTCACTGAATGGAGAAATAGCCGGAGCTACCGAGAGAGGCTGGGGAGAAGGATACAGTGGGCGGAGAGGGACAGAACAGGTGCCTGGAGGTGGTCACCTGTCATTCCTTCCCCCCGCCCCCTCCCCCAGTGCAGCAGGTCGGTAGATGTGTTGTGGAACTCACTCCTTTCTCCATGATTCACCTGCAGGGAAACCAGGAAAGCAACCCATTTTGCACCTTAATGGAAGGTATCAAAGAGACACAGTCTTCTGCATTTGGAAATGGAAGCAACCCAGTATCACTGCAGGTCAGAGGCTCTGTGCCTGTATTTGCCATTCCCTGCCTTCCCCCACCAAGACAAGGTGATGTGTTGTGGAACTCACTCCTTTCTCCATGATTCACCTGCAGGGAAACCAGGAAAGCAACCCATTTTGCACCTTAATGGAAGGTATCAAAGAGACACAGTCTTCTGCATTTGGAAATGGAAGCAACCCAGTATCACTGCAGGTCAGAGGCTCTGTGCCTGTATTTGCCATTCCCTGCCTTCCCCCACCAAGACAAGGTCCCCCCTTTA